TATTTTTATGTAGTCTTTTTCCTGAACAGAACTGTTAAAATAATAACAGAATTTTCCTCTTCATATTTAAATAAGTGAGATTTTGTCATATTTGTGTCATTTATGAAGATAAATAAAGGGTATAAATCAACTTTTTGATTTCTCCTCCTGCATTATATTTCCTCTTTTCTCCTGGAAACAACCAGAAACCTAATATGCATCATTATTGTTTGTTTGAACCCAAACTGCTACGAAATATGGCATAAAAGAATGATGAAGTTATTATAATATATTGCAAAACCCAAGTGAGATGAAACTTGCTTCGAGGAATTAATTGGCACGGTATAATCGGTAGCTCTTGTACAAATCTTTTATGTCGAGAAAAAAAAATCATAGCCGACAAAGAAAACATAAAACAAAATTCTTTTACAAGCTATTTAATATCCATACACTGATGTGGAAAATTAATTATGACATGGCAAAGAAGGTTAGTGATTTAACGGTTTTGTTAAGAGTAGGATGTTTTAAGCAACAAAATAGAAGGTTAGGGAAGTTTTTGATCAATTTTCAAAGGTTAGAGGTGTTATATAAAGAAGACTAAATTTGAGGCTATTAATATGTATTTTAGGCGTAAATGCTTGAAATGTGTTATCTAAAATATTCTCCAAATATTTTATCATTATTGTATATATATCTTAGTCATTATTAAGAGATATTATTTGATATTATTATGTAATTATTAATTATTATTAGGTTGTCTTTTTCTTGATGTATATATTGTACCTTTTAGCTCAATAATAAATAAGATATTTCTCCATATTTCTCTTGCTTCTTTCATAGTACCAGAGCCATATTTTTTTCCATTCTTTCTTCCAGCATTGCATCTCCATCATCTGCTTGTTTCATCCTTGACACTGTCCTCAACTGCTCTTTTTTTTTCATCTGCTCGTTTCATCTATTTTGTCTTCTTCCTCATTGAATTTTTGAAACTTCTCTCTCTGATTAAGCCAATCCGTGTGGACTCTTTCTTATTTATTTTTTTTTACCTTACCCCTTATTCTTCAATGGAAAAAATTGAGATTGCTCAACCTATTTCTATTTTGTTGACTGGTCCTAACTATCGCTTATGGATTGGAAAGTATGCGTCATTTTTTGAAAGGTAGGAAACTTTGGCAATATATTACTGGAGATGTCTCATTTCCTGTTAGATCCTCTTTTGAAGATGATCAAAAATTTACTAATCGGTTGGATCATTGGGATAGTAAAAATAATCAAATCATAACATAGTTTCGGAATACTTCTACCGCGAGTATTCATCAATAGTTCAGGTGCTTTGAAACTACTAAGGAGGTATGGGATCATCTTACTAGCCGGTATACCTCTTCTGATTTGTCCAATCAATACCAACTGTAGAAGGACTTGGCTATTCTCAAAATGGAGAACGGTCAATCGCTGCTTGAGTTTCTTTCTAAGATGGAGGCTATTTAGGACCAACTAGCCTATTTTGAGGCTATTTTAAAAATGATGAGGATGCTAAAGTTTTCTTCAAGTGGCGAGATCAACTTCATCTTATACAATTCTTCTAGATTGTGTGCTCCCTCCACTTCTATTTCCTTTGAATTATGGCATCGTTGTCTGGCTCATCTGTCTTTAACTGCTTTGCATCCTTTACTTTTTACTACTCTTTTAGAACATGTTGATGTTGAGACTTTTCATTGTATCTCTTATCAAACTACTAAACAGCCTACTTTATGATTTAATAAAAATGACTCTATTGCTAATGAGTCTTTTGATTTAGTTCATTCTGATGTTTGGGGCCCAACACCCACTACCTCTATGGGAGGCTCATGATATTTTGTAATTTTTATTGATGATTTCTGCCATTATACTTGGATTTACATGATGAAAAGTTGATCTGAGTTGCCTGATACCTATATTAAATTTGCTATTATGGTTTGCACTCAATTCTCTAAAGTTATAAAAATTCTTCACCGTGATAATGCCTTAGAATACCGTGATTCTAAATTGCTCAAATTTCTTAATGCTCAGGGTACAATTTCCCAATACTCATGTCCTTACACCTCTCAGCAAAATGGCCAAGCTGAACGAAAACATCATCATATTCTTGACTTAGTTTAAGCCCTCCTCATTTCTTCTTCCTGTCCTGAATGCTATTGCGGGGAAGCTACTTTAACCTCTATCTTTTGCATTAATAGAGTTCCTACCCTGGTTCTTGGTAATATTTCTCCTTTTAAGCATCTTCATGGTATTCCTCCTGATTATAGTCTTTTGAAAGTGTTTGCCTATGTCTGTTTTGTTATCCTCCCTCCATATGAAACTACCAAATTGTAAGCCCGTGCCCGTGTTTGTTGTTTTCTTGGTTATGACCCTAAGCATAAGGGTTATCATTGCTGGGATCCTATATCTTTTTGCATTTGAATCTCTCGTCATGTTTTTTGGGAACATATGATGTTTTTATCCTTAACTGATTTCTCCTTCGTTTCTCCTCCTTCACCTTCTATTTTCACAAATCCTTCGGTTGATCTTTTTCCAAGTGATTTGATGCAGATTCTCCTGTAGAGCTCACTACCAATACTACGCCTACTTCTGATATGACTACTATTACGCCTCAAGATGTTTCCACACAAGCCACGTCTCTTGAGCCCGTATTGTCCGATGATACTCGGCCCCACTGTATAAGAAACCCGCCCTCTTACCTTAGTGATTACCATTGTTTTTTCACTGTTCTCCAGTTACAGGAACTTAAATCCTTTAAGGAAGCCTCTTGTGATCCCTTATGGCAGCAAGTTATGAATGAAGAATTACAAGCTTTGAAGAAAATGTACACTTGGGATCTTGTTGATCTTCCTTCTGGTAAAACTCTTGTTGGTTGTCAATGGGTATACAAAAATAAGACTCATTCTAATGGCTCTTTAAAATAATGTAAGGCCCGCTTGGTGGCCCAAGGGTTTACACAGGAATATAGTGTTGATTATGAGGAGACTTTTGCACCTATTGCACACATGACTTCTATTCATAATCTTCTAGCCATTGCTGTTGTTAAGCACTAGTCCCTTCATCAGATGGATGTTAAAAATGCTTTTTTTGAATGGAGATATAGAGGAAGAAGTGAGTATAAAGCCTCCACCTGGGTATCAGCATCCGAAAGATAAGGTTTGTCATCTTCGTCGAGCTTTATATGGGCTCAAGTAGGCTCCTCGTGCATGGTTTGCTAAGTTTAGTAACATTATAAGTCAGTTAGGCTTCACTTGTAGTCCTCACAACTCAGCTCTTTTGTTTGACCTATTGCTTGTAGTATTATTTTGTTATTGTTGTATGTTGATGACATGATTATCACAAGTAGTGATGATATAGGAGTCCACGAGCTTAAGATATACTTGAGGCAGCAATTTGAAATGAAGGATCTTGGTAACTTGAACTATTTTCTTAGACTTGAGGTCCATTATAGGAGAGATGGTATCTCTCTCTCTTAGGTCAAATATGCTATTGATTTGATATCTGGAGCTCATCTTTTTGATGAGGAGGTTGAAAATACTTCTATCGAGCCAAATGTTCACTATACTTCCACTGATGGCACCTTATTGGATAATCCCACTCATTATATCCAGTTGATTAGGGGCCTCATCTATCTTACTGTGACCCGCCCTGACATTGCTTATGCAGTCCACATTATTAGCTAGTTTATGTCAGAGCCTCGAACTACTCATTGTGCAGCAGTTTTTCAGATCCTTCAGTATATCATAGGCACTCTATATCATGGGCTTCACTTCTCTACTAGCTCTTCTCTTATGCTACGAGCTTACTCTAACGCTGATTGGGGTGGTGATTGTGATGATCGATGATCTACACTGGTTTTTGTATCTTCCTCGGCCATTCCCTCATCTCTTGGAGAAGTAAGAAGCAAACTTTAGCCTCCTGCTCCAGTGCTAAATCATAATACCGTGCACTAGCAGACACCACCACTGAAGTACTTTGGCTTCGTTGGTTACTTAACGAGCTAGGAGCATCTCAAAGCTCCTCCACAAACATCTATTGTGATAGTTAAGTTGTAATCAAGATTGCTCACAATGATGTGTATCATGAACGAACCAAACATATTGAGATTGACTGCCATTTCACTCGGTAACATGTTGTTAGGGGCACCATCCAACTTGTTCCAATTCGAACCAATATCAATTGGCAAACTTGTTTACAAAGTCTTTTAATCCAGGCCACTTTCATTTCTTGGTAGACAAATTCAAGTTGCTCTCGATCAAACCATCTTGAGTTTGAGGGGGAATATTATCTAGAATATTCTTCAAATATTTTATCATTATTGTATATATATCTCAGTCATTATTAAGAATATTATCTAATATTATTATGTAATTATTAATCATTATTAGGTTGTCTTTTTCTTGATGTATATATTGTACCCTTCAGCTCAATAATAGATAAGACACTTCTACATATTTTTCTTGCTTCTTTCAAAATGAAATGATGAAATTGATAAGGATTTATACAGTTGTGTATTGCATATACATGTAAAAGATAAGGTATTATTATTAATGCCAAGTTGCAAAAATAGAATGAAGGCATTTTTTTTTAATCCCAAGTTCACAACTAAAGTCAAATTGCAAGTTGGTTGCAATCATTTAACATATATATATATATATATATAACCCTTCATTATAATATTAATATTAATTTTTTTTTGATATCTTTAAGCATTTCTTATAATCTGTGTGCATATCCGATAAACTACTTCTCTGCTTAAAATTTGAAAAAATTGTATTTATTCACCCACGACATTCATCATTAATGATTGAAAAGTGCTACTGAATCAATAATTATATTTTTATTTATTCACTGTGACATATAATATAAAATATTTTTGTTTGAATAACTAATTTAAATGCAAAAACATAATATATCATATAATAATACGATAACTTGATGTAAAACTCATGTTGCGCAGAGTTTAAAAAAGGTGCTGAATTGTACATAACTAATTAAAAATATATTCACTTACAACAACACTTTGTTATTTATTGTGCCTTACGTAATATAAAAATAGAACAAAACTCCAATGGTACAGTATAAAGAAAAGACGCAAACTCCATATATATATATATATATAAGCATTACATACATATCCCATTTTCTTTATTCAAAAAAAAAAATCACTTGTCCCTTCACATCACAGGCAACAATTTGCTTCTATTTAGTTGGTTTATTTATAAAACTCAATGACTCCCAAAGCAGAAGAGAAAACACGAGCAGCAACACGATAGCTGGAAAACCCAGCAGCTTTGCCCAAAGCTTCCAATTCTTTCTCTGTTCTTTCCTTCCCACCGGCTTGCAAAAACATGATGTTGTCAAGAATCGCTACATATTTATCGCTGGCTGTTGCATTTAATGTTTCTGGCATTATCAGGTCAATCACAATAAGCTTCCCTCCTTTCTTGAGGGACTTGTGACAATTTTTCAGAACTTTTATGCACTTGTCATCTGCCCAGTTATGAGTGGTAGCCTGCAACAAAACACACCCCCCCCCAGCATATCATTAATTATATCAAAACTTTGGATTTATGTGAAGTTCTTGTGTCAAAAGTGTAGGATATTTTAATAACATATTGGCATTTCAAAAGAAATAATTATTTTTCATTAATAATATTAAACACTATTTATGGCTATCAAAACTCATTATTTTCTGAAACTGTCTTTAAATTATGATCAAGGCATTATTAATCGGTTTTTTGTTGGTTGGTGCTACTGTGATCTTTGCCTGTAAAAGGCAGTCCGGTCTGCATAGCTGAGAGAATTATCCCAAGCTTTCCGGCACTCTTGTCCCCACATTATGCTTCTCCTAAGTTACTCTAAATCCCTGTTCATTTTGTAGGTAGAGTTTGTTTAATCTTAAGGTACTACTGTGCAATTAACCCTATGTGACCGAATAGTTCTTAAAGATAGTACCTTTGGGCATGACTCAGACGATGATTTTAACAGCTATTGCCAACTACACACACTGACCTTGATCATTATAGCATCACCTTCTGGGACACATTCGAACATGCTTCCTCCAACATGCTTGATTCCTTTGATAATCCAAGGAAAATCTTGTTAGCCCATAGGGAAATATTACAATTTATTAATTGAAGTAGCATCAAGAGACTGAGATATTTAATTACCTGGATGGGATGGGGCATGTTGAACAACATGCGGCAAATCGAAGTTAATGCCTTGAATTGAAGGGTACTTAGAGACGATCATTTTGAGGCTTTGGCCAACGCCGCCAGCAACGTCAACAAGTGTTGATATTCCCTCAAATCCTTTGTAGTTATCAAGGATCTGCTTCATGTGCATGAATGAAAGATCAGCCATTGCCTTATGGAAAACAGTTTCGAAGGTCGGATCTTTTTTCATGTATTCAAACATGGACATCCCGTGAATTTTCTTAAACAGGTCCTCTTCCTCGTCCAGTATCACTTGCTTGATGTTTTCCCTGCCATTGTCATTCACACCATATGCCACTAAGATAGGTTAATCTCTTTAGCTAGCTCAGATCGAAACTTATTTAAATATGGATAAAATTAAGGAAAATTAGGACCAGGGTAATTAAATAGCAATATTTTGAAAAAAATCCTAGAAAAAAATTCGATAATAAGACGACCAAGAGAGAGTTTCATCATTTATGAGAGAGAATATTATATTTTCTCTTCTCTGAGACCTAGCTATATGTTAAAAGTTCACCCCATTTTCTGTCTCAAATCACTATTTCTATCTTTACTTTATTTAAAAGTCAACTTAAGGTGTCAATTTTTAAAAATTAAAGAACCCTTAAGGGTGAAATGATTTATATTTTGACCCAAACTTATCACAGCGACCTAACATTTAATTAAACACATATCTACATCATGAATAGTTCATCGAGATATTAAATTAAGTGTTCATGCAAGTCTTTGTTCCTGCGTAAGTCTTCATTACAGGAATATATATCGACCGTACGTTAAAAGCACATATATTTTCCCTAACGCCTAGCTATACACAAGTCAAAACAAGAAATACTTACCGAACTTTTATATAAGCTGGATGGTAACTTAATCTGGAGACTGAAGCATAAGAGACTCCATCCTCATCAGGGAACATGTATTTACCAATAGGAGATAGAGCATAAAGCCTCTCAATCCTACCATCTTCATCAACCTTCCTGGATGAAGAAGTCAAAACAGAATGACTAGCAAGCAAACACAGCAACCGATCGAGGCGGCGAACGGTGTCAGCATGTGGATTTGGAAGCCCGGAAGCAATTTCAGAGGGTGACATGCCCTCAGGGTTTCCCTCACCGATGATCTTGAAGAGGTCGAGCTCAATGGCAGCATTTAACACTGCAGGGTAAAGCTGAGCACTCGCTAGCAACATGGCATCAAGAGAAACATCATATTGACCATGATTGTCCATGGTAGGGCTCATACTTACTAGCTTCTTCTCTCTAGCTTATATGAATACTCTCTCTATATCAACTATGAGAGCGGGTTTATTGTTTAGCCTGAAGATAATTCAAGCAACCTGATTTAGTCTAGTAAATGTGGGGGGGTATTTATAATGTAAATGGACCATTGAAACTCGAGAGAGATGATTAAAATAGTATAGTCTTATTGGCCAATTAAGAAGAAACCTCTCCTGGTTGATCATCTTCTTGGAGGATTAAACAATTAATTTCAACTTGCAATGGAGGTCACTTTCTAATATACATGAGTCATACATGCATGCATGTGAATCCCATTTATTTAGAAAACCTATAATTTTATCAAGTGGGTGTGGTAAAAGTAGTAGTAGTCTGGGCCCAACATTTTAGAATTTGGTTCTTGAAAATGTGTGTATTAAAAATAAAACACTTGGGAAAAGACACCCTTAAATGATATTCCTTCTATTGTAAATTATAAGACACTTTTGGAAAAAATTTACCATCCCAAAATATAAGATACTTTGAAAAGATTAATATTTTATTAAATAAATTTATTTTAATATTATCCCTTCTTTTTTTCTATTGAATACTAATTAGGTGTAGATTTAGGTTATTAAATGAAAAGTATTTTTGAAAGTTTACACTTTTATTTTGAAAAAATAAAGTTGTAAAGTGTATTTAATGAAGTTTATTGATATATGAGATTTTATTTAAAAGTATTTTATAATTCAGTATAGAGGGAATACTGAGATTTTTCAAGAGATAAGTCTCATAGCTGTCAACCATAAAGATACTTTGATTATTAAATAAGCTTATTTCAATATTACCCCCTCTCTCTATTTAAGACTAATTATGTATAGATTTAGGTTATTAAACGAAGAGTATTTTTGAAAGTTTACATTTTTATTTTGAAAAAATAAGATTGTTAAGTATATTTAATAAGGTTTATTGATATATAAAATTTTATCTAAAGTATCTTATAATTTAGGATGTAAAAAATACTCAGATTCCTTGAAGGATTATCATGTCGGTAAAGAGAAAAGAAAAGAAAAGAAAATGTATAATTTTTGTACAAGGCATCTAGCGACTAGCGAGTACATAATGGGTACGCATGAGTACTTGTAATTAATCAAAGAATACGCGGTCATCACGATGAAAAGGTCAATATATTGATCCTTGTGTTGCATTGACTGGGACTACTCATTCATGTTTGGCGGGTATTTTTATTTTTAATTTTTGCGCATATCGAGTCGGTACCTAGCTTTCCTAATTGATTGGGATCGTATACCGAAAATAAAGCATTAATTAAATAGCAGGACAATGTGAGGAACAATGTATTATTTATAGGCCCAAAACTCACTCACACGCAGAGAATAACGTAATAAATTAACAATAATTGATGTTATTTCTATTTATAATTAAGCGCGCGCCAGCCGGGAAAATTGTTTAGTGCGTCTATGACTTTTTTTTTTGGGTAGGGCCATATTATTCTTTTTATTTTTATTGTTATATATCATCATCATCATCATTATTCTGTTATATGTTCAATGTATTTTTATTATTTCTTTATTGTCTTTTAAATAAGGGCCTTTGATTTGATAGAATGCACAAGGACAAAGCTAGGATTTAAGAATGGAGAGATTACTACTATAAAGTTTTTATAAATTTTAAAGGGGCTGAAAATATATAACATTTATATAAGATAAAAAATATTTAAAAAAATTGGGGGTGGGGGCATAGCCCTTATTGGTCCCGTCCCTCTACCACTGGAAGTGAAGATGGATCAGATTGAACTTTGGACTATTGGTAAATAATTTACCATTTTATACCATACACTGGATGATATATTATTATAGCAAGGGGTGGAGATGAAAAAAAAAAAAAGGAGGGGGAAATTATTTTGTTGGACAGGACTTGAGTTTTAAATTTCATTGTCCTAGGGATGCTGTATATTCTTGAGTGATGAACTTGAGAAATTAAAATGCACAGATTTTTTTTTTATTCAGTAAATGGATATGTTACAAGCCAAGTCTAAAGGCTCTTTTCACTAACTGAACTAGTTTTTTTTTTTTTTTCGGTGAGTTCTCATTTTACTTGTGTTTATTAAATTATTGTTTTAATTTCTTCGACAGAGAGGACATGTGCTCTGGCGTGGATAATTTATATTCACAATATTGCGAGTTCAAATTTCTTGTTGATGAGCAGTTATTAAATATTTTTATAAGCGTTCCTTAAAGTTGGAAGCTATCATAATCTTAGTTTAAGTCTCTGAAATTTAACTTAAATTTTGTATAATTCTATAATCAAATAATTTGAGAATTGATACCTCATCTCCTGGCAGTCCATTAGATAACGTAATGTTTCCCTATATAAGTAAAATATACATGTACATACTGCCATCATACACAGATATATAAGAATATTTTGACCCAAATAAAAGTAATTATAAGCCATCGTTTGATTTGAAGGGAGGTAAGTATAAGTTTTTTTAAAAAAAATAAATTTATATATCCATCATAAGGAAGAAAAACATCTCACGCATTTTAGTTAGCGCTTGTTATGTTGTTTTTTTTTAACTATAATATATATTCTCAATAAATTGAAAATGCAAAATAATTGTGGAGTTTTTTTTTGGTAGAAAAATAATTGTGGAGTTACCTCAATACATGTGGTGGCTCCACATGGGCTGAGGTCCACGTCCCATGTGTTTTTGGGAAAAAAAAAATTCAGAAGGTTTCAAATATTATATATATTTAAGCTTAAATATTTTTTATTTAATTTAAAAGATGCAAAATATTAAGGGTAAGAGATGCAAACTTATGAAATGTATATTCCCTACTTGTAATTTTTCTCCAAATGAAAAATATACCCTCAAGACAATGAGGAAATTTGTTATATTTAAATGTCAACTTGTGGTATTTTATTAGATAGAAGACTTGTTGAAATTACCAAAACATATAGCAATAATAAAATAACCAAAATATATATTTACATGGCAATTTCACTGTGATTTTTTCCTATTTTTAAGGAAAAATTAATATGCAAATCCTTATAGATTTATTCAATTTTAAATAAGGTTTCTGTAGTTTATTTTCTTTTAATTAAACTTCTATAATTTAATTTGTTAGGTATGTTAATCCTTGAAAGTTAAAATCCTTAAACTTTTTATTTAAAAAAGAGATGATAAAATTTTAGAAATAAGTCAAAATTTATATTATTAGGTCATGTATTTTAGCTGATTTTTATACATATATAATTTTTAAAAAATTAATAAAATTATAAACATTGTATTAAATCAGGTTTTCTGATTTTTTTTTCCAGAAGTATTGAACATAAATTTTAAAAGTGCTTTTGTTTTATGGAAACATTAATCATTCATTAATAATTTTAACTTCAAGGGATTAACATATCTACTAAATTAAAATGTAAGGACTTAATTAAAACAAAAAAAAATTAGAAACTTAATTTAAAATTAAAAACACTATGAAAACTTATGGATTAATTGTTTCTAATTACCAAAATATATAAGAATTATAAAATTTGCATAACTAATAACTAGTGCGCTGAAATTGGTGAAATTGTTACTGCCGACATCCATCCAATTAGATTAATAATAATTTGCAGCTTATCCAAAAAATTAATAATAATAATAATTTGCATGGCAAGCTAGTGCGTTGAAATATGGGTAAATTTGCATTTTTGTCCTCACAATATTTTAGGAGAATTTCAATTGAGGTTCATGGATGGGATTTAATTACCAATGGGTTTAAAAAAAATTTAAAACTTAATTTTGTTCAGTTTAGGGGAATTGAAGTAAAAATAATTTTAAAGATGAAAAGACTAAAGTACCCTTTTACTTATCGTGTAAAATAATTAGTTGTTAATTTTTTTACTTTACTTATTAATTTACTAATATGAGTTGTAAATTTGATGAATAATTAGTTGTTAATTTACATGCCAATAATTATACAAGACTCAACATTAGTTGTTCAATCAAGAAACAACAATATTAGTTGTTAAATTATTAATTTTACTTGTCAATTTACTAATATCAGTTATAAATTATTAACAAATGAATGTAATTTACAAATTATATTTATATAAATTAACAAGTAAAGTAAAAAATTTAAAACTAATGATTTTGCATAACAAGTGAAGGGTAGTTTGGTCTTTTTACCATTGAAAATATTTTTACTTTAGTTCTCTTAGACTGAATTGAAGTTTCAATTTTTTTTTTAATCTACTAGCAGTTAAGTCACATCTATAATCCTTAATTGAAATTCTCTAAATTTTCTCGAGAACCATTCAACACTCAAAACTATTTGTTTTAGCATTACGTCTCTAAAATAATTAAAATGTAACATTTTTCTCCTCGAACTTAAATGCTCACAAATATCTATTTGATAGTCAAAAACACTTTCTCTCACATCATATTAATAAACAACATTTATTATTTAATGTCAGGGTAGAAAATGTTATGTTTTAATTACTTTAAATGCAAAAATGATATATTAAATAGTGTAAAGTTCTGGATACTTATCAAAGAATACTTTAGAGATAGAAATACTCCTTTACCTTTGAAATTTCTAGTCGAAATATTAACAGCTAATGATGGTCAAAGTCAACTTTATAGTTTAAGAGGAAAAAATTATTCGTGTCCATGCATTTCTCTTATACCAAAAACTGTTTTGTCTTTATTATAAAGGACCTTACGCGAAAACTTTACGTGTATTAAAGAATTGGGTTAAAATTAGTTGAATATTATCAGAGACAGTTGTGTGTAAATAATACTCAAGTCGATTAATGAAATGAACGAATCTGGGTTTTAATATGTTGGGCAAAAAGGCCAAAATTTGTAAGAAGTCATTGGCCAAGAGAATTCAATAATCTAAAGTGAGAAAAAAAAATATATATAAATGTGTATGAAGTTATTTTTTGAGTGCATCTGTGATTAAACTATTAAAATTCAAAGATATTGACCGTTATATTGTAGTAATGATTTGTTTACAGATATATAAAAAAAAAAATTAACTTCATGAATACTCGTGCATTTTTTTTTTTAACTTGAAACTACTGAATATTCTTAAG